TAAAATGTAAACCAAAGTTTTGCTGCGGACCTCTGATTTTTCAAAGAGAATTAGTACCCTATTCTACACTATTTCTAATCTGTAGTAACAAAACATAATAGTTAATAATCTGGAAGACAAACAGAAACAAGGACTTCTCTTCTTGGATATTTTTGAAAATTAAGAGGAGTTGCACAGAGAGCTGGCTCAGGACCCATCTCGTTGGAAGATTTCAATGTGTTGCTGTTGAAAGTGCAGAAGAAACCGGAACTTTCAAAGGCCTCACAGTATTGTAATTATTTGCTCGCAAAGATGTAAGTTACATTTGCATAGGTCAAAAGATGTTGGGCAAAACAGGAACCCTTTGGGAAAAGATAATTTAGTTACGTTACAGAGTCTTTCATAGTTATATATGGCTCACTTTCAACAAGATAGACCTTAAGTTGTCTCTGAAATTTCATAGGCTTATCAATATTTTGTTTAAGGCAATCTGGAAGACAATTGAAGAACTTGGCTCCCATATGGAGAGGATTGACTTTCACCACATTATTTTTTGGTGTGTCTACATGATATTTCATGTTGCTCCTTGTCTGACAGGCATGGAAAGCATTAACTTTTTTAGACTGTTCAGGGTAATTAAACATTGAAGCATGTCTGGCCACACTGAACGTAGTGGTTGTCATTAACAAGATTTAATGTTTGCTCTTTAATCTCAAGGAAAATGGAAATGGCGACTACAAACATGTAATAGAAATAGAACTCTAAATTTCCTGGAATTATCCCATGTTAAGAGAATTACTGGCAGAAAACAAGGCTACTGAGGTAATAAGAATATTATGATCTGTAAATTTTACACTGAAACAGTTGGCACAAACAAGTGGTTGGTGAACTGAAAAAATAATTTAGTATCCAAAATCAAGCACTAAGTGTAATAAATAAACATCAGAGAGGTGTGTCCTATAGTGGCCTCTTTAAGGACTACTCCAGGAATTTTCATGTTCCAATCTATATTACACACCAAATCCAATTGAAGAGCTACTCGTGAAGATCTTAGATACCCATCAAAACAACAGGAAGAAGTCTGATGTTTAACTGACATCTACAGGCGTGCTTCCTCAAAGAGAAATCCGACTCAGACTGGCAGCAAAATGATAAGTAGCTAGCCACATAGGATTAAAAGTGCCAAGACACTTAAGTAATTCAAAACATAAAGAAGATACTTGATTAATAAAGAACCCTATGTCAGCAAAATTTATCTACTCAAACTATTAGTTACAGATGTGATTTCAAAACTGAAAATCACCCCATAAAGCCTTAAATTGTTCCAAGTTGAGACCATCATGTCTATGGAACCCTATGCTCAAAGGCTGCTTCAGTGTTCCTAACATGTAGGATGGTCACCACCAGGAATAAATATCTTGAACATAAAAAACCCCCAAAAAACAAGGCTAACAGCAGGTACAACTCATTTTACCACTTCTACGTTGCTGTCCATTGCACGCCCTGCTGCTTATTGCAATTGCATCAAAAGCCAGATTAACATGGAGCAATCTCCCTTCTCCAGCCTATTCATCACCCTGGTCCAGCAGTAATGAGGTACTCTGTCTTCACATGGCAAAACCAAAATTATTTCAGAATCCAAGTAGTAAATGTGTGACAACTCATACAAAACTCTCTCAGCATTCCATTCTTATCCATCACAAGCACTTTACTAAGCCTGCATCATATTTCACTTCCATACCAATGTCATTGCACATAGAACATTAAAATTACTACTGTACAAAAACTTAGTGACATTCTTTCCTCCAAGCAATTTTACCAGACCTGTGACTCTTTTGCTGCACGTCAGTTCTAGTTTACCAGTAACAGAAAAAACCCACTACCTCCACAAGATGCAATGGGGACCAAATGGCCCCGGGACACTTGCTACATAGATATCTCATCAACTCTTAAATTTTTAGCCTTGTATTCCCTTTTGTGGTGACCCCTTCTGTCTGGAATAGCAAGAAAACCCTTTGAGGAATGAGTCAGAGCACTATCAATCCAGGAATCACAAATGCAGAGAGTATTCTTAAACATTGTCTTGCACACTGCTTTTTTAGGGAGACCATTGAGAGTGAAGAAAAATTTTCTACTTGACTGCTTTGCCTTTTTACTTTGCAATCCAGCAGATTTTCTTTTGGGAAGGCTCACTTCAACTGACCTAGAAATGAATTCCCATTGCTTCTCATGATCCTTCAAGTCCCAGAACATTTTAAAAATCTCCAACCGGTTGGCCTCTGTTACTTTAGGAAGTACACATCTCTTGCAATACTCGCTACATGAGGGTTTCACAAAACGCCCATGTTTTACTTTCCCTCTGGAAGTAATGTGAGTCACTCCAGCGTTGAGGGCAATTTTGGCTGCAGAGCTCATCAGCTGGGAACGGCTCAATGTCGACAGTTGCACAGCTGGATATGTTGACGATTTCTCCTGGATTTGACATCTGTTCCCATTGAGCACTGATGACGCTGCAAAACAATTGATTAAGTTTAATATCGCCACTCATGTTGATTCATTAAGCAATGAAGACAAACTCACCATCGATTGAAGGTTGACCAAGAGTACTGCGTGGCTTGGGAAAGTTGTGAATGAGCTGTTGCTGGACACGGCAGAG